AAAAAAAAAATAAACGATCTAATGGCTAAAGAAAAAGTCAAAATTATACATTCACCAATACACATCACCACCCACATCGCCATGCCACATCACCACCCACACACCACACACACACAACACACGCGTACACACACAAACACATCGCACACACAAACACATACAAACACATGCACACATATTAATCACACACATCGCCCACAGCTGAAGCTCGTCGCCTTTGACAAGCACCTCACGCCGGCAACACCATCTAACAGGCACAGCCTGATCCCGCTACCGCCCGTCGCCTCAGACAGTCACAGTCCGATCCCGCTGCCTGCCCTCGCCGGTCCGACATCATTATCGCCTTCATCTACCGACGAAATTATCCCTATTGCTTCTGCAGGTGAGTTGTCTCCGGCACGCTGTCCTTCTCTCCGGCCTTCGATCACAAGCAAGACGCTCTCCTTCTCTCTTTTTGGTAGCTCTCCTTCACAGGGTATTTCATTTCAGATTCGATTTCAGCACATCGGTCGAAGAGCAGACCTGATGCTCCGCCGGCGAGCAGCGACATGTCATGTCAAGGCGGTTGAATCGGTTGACATTAATAGTTTGAGGAGCCCGAATGTGTTTGTTGGATTTAGGGCAAATTATAGTTTTTCGGTTTTTTGCAGTGCGGTTCGGTTTTTCACTGAACCGCACTATTGCTCACCCCTAATTATACCCAACGGCTAGAATATGGTTAGTAGTCAATAAAATTATTGTGTGAGATGTCATAATCGTCAGGTCAACGCGCTATACTCAATGAACAAATATGATATATATACTATTAATCTCATATTTTTTATACTTCTGTTTATAATGTTTTTCAATGTATATCAGTTTCTGATGAAAGTATACATTTTTATTCAAATAGTATATCTTTCTAATGGTTAGGCCAACCTAACACAAGACCTATCGAAGTGAAAAAACCATAAATTTTGCCATTATATATTTGAATGTTTTTATTACTTTTGGTATTAAGAAAAAGTTAAATAATAGGCAGTATAAATTTTTTTATTTTTTAAATATTTGAATGTTATTAAAACTCCAAAACGAGTGCAATATTACCCACTTTTAACATAAGCCACTTTTGCATTTAGTACATCAAAATGCAGAGGTGAAAATTTTATACGACGTAATTCATCTACAGCCAAATACACTAGACGCAATACTGGTGGAGACAAACACTCCTCAAATGAAAGACACATGCACTCGCAAGGAAGACTCAACAACAAAAACCATAAAAGAAAAACATGAAATAAACTAAATTATAACTAAAACAACACAAACACATGTAACAATAAAATAGAATAAAGTCTCTTTCTACCTTCTTCTAACACACAATTGCTACCGCCACAAGTCGTTTAGCCTAAAACAAGTATCACTACAACAAAAACTACATTTAGTGACAGTTTCTTTTTTTATTTAGTGACATTTATTAGTGTCACAAAAAAATTTACCTACACTTGCAAATGTGTCACGAGTTGTGTTGCTAAATTTGATGTCACGAATTTATTTGTGACGCAACCTAGATGCGTAGGTAATCTTTAATACGTGACACTTTTTCAAAAGTGCGTCACTAGTACATAATTTAGTGACATAATATACTATTGTAAGTAATTTTCAATTGATGACTCTTTTTGAGCACGTCATTATTGATACGAGTTGTAACATAAAATTTTAGCGTCGGTAAATTTCAATGCATGACACTTTTTTCTAGCGTCATTAATATGAATTATTGTGACACAAAATTGTATTGTACGTAATTTTCAATACATTACACTTTTTAAGTGTCGTTATGATTTTTGGTGACACAAATATGAGTGTTAAGAATTATCAAAATGCGACACTTTTTTCATGCATCGTGATTATGAAATTGACAACAATATTGTGTCAAATTTGATACACATAATAATTTCCGTCTACATATTAGGGATTCCATAGTGAAACAAAATTTATTATAATCAAACTTGAACAATTATAATATCCACAATAAATATACAAAATGAATAAAATGTTGAAATTCCAATAACATAATAAAAAGAAATAAGAACTTATAGTTTCTATCACAAATTCATAATAAAATGTTGAAACTCGAACAATTCACCTTCTTGCTTTGCTCCCTCTTGATTTCCCATACCAAAGCTTCTTTTTACCTGAAGAAATAAGAACTTATAGTTTCTATCACAAATTCATATTAATGAGTAATTGGATGGATATAGGCTTTTCTGCTATCTGATGTGATGAAATAAATTCACAAACCTCTTCTTTAGAGGCACATGTTTTCTCTTCCACATTAGCATATACCTACCAAGAAAGAAGATGACTCATCATCAATGGAAGCATGCAAATGAATCATACAATGGCAGGCTATCTCAATGAATGTTACTTTAGGAAATATTTGTAATGTGCTGCTAATAAAAAAGAGAGAAAGCATTATAATTAGTTAACTAGTATAACTAGTCAGATCAACAAGCAACTGCAGAACCACATGAAGAATCTGGATACCCTTACATTTGCTTCAGCCTCATTCCAGACAGTGTCTACTTGTTTATACAGCTGCTCAGTAGTCGCTTTGTTATGCACTTCACCATTTCACGATCTCATAGCTCCCAAAAACAAAAATTATTGCAAGAATTGGGGCATAAAAAGCAACAGTTCACCATGGGCATAAAAAAAGCAACAATTCACCATACTCCACAAAAGTCGGTCCAAAATATCGCTAGAACAAAAATCATGACAAAATAAACATAAATTGAGAAGCAGGAGTAAGCTTACCACTCTAAGCATCAGTAGAGTGCCAAGTACAGATTTTTCTTTATTTTTTTCTCCCCCATTTTGATATCAAGAGCATATTAATCCACATCATTTTACCTGGGTGTCCATTTATGCTATTATCGTAGGAGCAGTGGTGCCCCAAACAGATTTATCTTCAAGAATGGATACTGCATACTGCCCAATCAGTCCCTGAAGGTAAAAACAATGATAAAATCGTGCTTTCTCTAATCCAGTGATACAAAGCATAGCAAACCTAATGAACATGACCCATATATAAACGAGAAGCTAATGTTAGATTTAAATAATCAAACATTTCTTCTTCCTATGTCATCCATTAGATACGTTCATGTGAAAGTAAAAAATGTTAATTTCAACAGAAATTCTATAAACAAGCCAAAATAGTTCTAGTCAACAACGAAGCATAAAGAAAACACTTCAAAAGTCCAAATGAACACAAAACCAAATAAATTTGGTTGATAGGATAACACTCACATACACACACAAGTAAATGCATTAATAATGTAAAATTCCAAACAACCAGACACAAGATAACGAAAAATCAATACCCATTTTCTTCACATGTTCATATCAAGTCACAGAAGTCAATCATCCCAATTATTCACAAAGCGATCCCCACTTTTCTAGGTTTTTTTGGGGGCAAATAGACGATGAATAAGATTAAAACGAAGAAGCATCAAGAATCCTACTAATTTCAAAGCAGACAAATGCATCAACACAAGCATACTGAACCTGAGCCGGCGTCAGCCACTGATTGTCCCATCTGCTCATCGTAACCGCCCTCGGGTTCTCCATCCCTCTCCAGCACAACGCCGATGAGGGTTCTCAGCCCCACAAAGTTCAGCTCTGCCCTCCCGTACCTCTCCGCCGCTATGCCCCTCAAATCCACTGTGTTGGTGTTGAACCCGAACTCGTAATTTTCCTCGATCTTCTCCAGGTCCTCCACTGTGTTGGTGTTGAACCTGAACTCGTAATTCTCCCCGATCTTCTCCAGGTCCTGATCCACGCCGATCCCGACGAACGTGTAGCTAAGTGTTGTAACTTAATATATTATATTGGAGTGGGGATAAAATGTATAAGTGTATATTAAACTTAATATATAAATAGTTTTAAACTTTGAAATTGTACAATACTGTTAGTATTCCAACATCAATGTAATACATGTGCTAAATAAAAAAATTTATACCTGAAATAGTTTTTAAAAAAATAAAATTATTTTAATTTTTTAAATATTTCTTAAAAGTTGTATTTTTTATAGATCGTTATAAAAATATTAATTTGATATGATAATATAAAAAATTATTAATTTTAACATAATTTATAATTTTTTTAACATTAATTTGATATGATAATATTAATTTTAACATAATTTATAATTTAATTTAGCAAGTGTTCTATAGTTTTAATATTCTTAATGAGCAAGAAAAAAATTACAAATCTACATGGACTATTTTGAAAACCACAAATTGACATATGGGATTAAGAAAGTCAGAAACTAACACATAAAATGTCATCGTATTTATAAATAAAGTGAAGCTTTTGAAAAAAAAGAAGAAGATAATATTTAAATACATTTTCAAAAAAGTGTCACCATTTGTATAAAATTGGGGACACTATTTCATCAATTGTCATAAATTAGCAACATTTTTAAATAAATGTCTCAAAAGGTGAAATTGCGACATTTTTTTAAAAGCATCATTATTCCATTACACTTTTTAAAAATGTGTTGCAATTATTTTATTTTTGTAACATTTTTTAAAAAGCGTCGCAATAATTTTGATTTTAGTTACACTTATTAGAAAAGTCATTATATTTATGTTGCAAGAAGTCCTTTTTCTTGTAGTGTATCTAACAAACACTCCACAATCAACTACAACGGACTACAAATTAAGTTTCACTTATAGATCTGAAAACCCTGAAACTTCAAATGCTAACGGCTAGAAAAGTCTAAGAAAATCAAACTAGATCTAAGCCTAAATACAAAGAAGAAGGGTGAAGGGGGACTGACATTTGATAGTATAAATATGCATTTTTGTTCATATAGTACGGCGGGTCGATTCGCCTAATGATTAGGCTACCACACATAAAAATTTGTATTTTGTTTTTGCTATTAAGTAATATGGTTGTAATTTTTGTCCCTAGTAGGATTGGAGAAAATGTTGTTTGAAACGGACGGCTGCAATGGCTGAACCTTGCGAGATCAGAAAATACGTTCAATTGTTCTCCCAGCCTAACCATTAAGCCGATATACTATTCCTACAAATATTTGTACTTCAGTCGAAAAAGTCATATGTTAAAAGGTAACATAAATAGAAGCATGACATATGTTGGTATGAGTATGATGGATAGTCCCGCCTAATGGTTAGGCCGCCTAACACTAAAATTTGTAAAAAACATTATGTGGTGGAAGGGACGGATCTTTCGTTGTTCTAATTCATGGTTTTTGAGCTATGTGTATTGTGTTCTAATTCGTTGTTCCGCCTAATGCTTTATCATCAATTATATATGTATTGTGTTCTATCAAAGAAAATCTGGAATTTCTGTTTACTATATTTTGATTCTAAATATACAAATTTTTCTGGTTGATTCATAATTCACATTTAGCACCTCAGACATTACATAATTGCTATTTCATGCATCTTCTTACAGAGAGGATAGCTTCAAATGCATGAACTTCTCTGAAAGCATTATTAGAATTTGGAATCCACACACCAAATAAGAGCCGGTAGAGCGCAAATCAAGAATACGGTTAATGATTACCCGGTGCTGTCATCAAAAATATATATTAGAAAACATATTCTGCAACCTCATTTATTAATTACTCTCCAATTTTAGATTTTCCCCTATCTGTTCTTTTTTTTTTCTTGTAATTTATTTTATATTTTACTCATGAGAGCTATAAAATCAGACATATTTTTGGATTGACTTCCCTAGCTAATTTCTTGAACTAAATTGCTCCTTATCTTCACTATATATGTTGCAACAGACTAATGACACAGATTTTGTGTGTAGAACCAAAGGAAGTACACAGCGGCCTGCACGTTTCAAGTCTCAAAGCTCGTGAATTAGGCCCAATTTGACCGGCTCTCGACTCTAACACCCGCACTTTCTCTTCAAGTCTTAAAAGCATCGGACTGCAGCCTTGACTTGTTTTATAATTCCGGTTTTGATGTTTTCAAAGATGTTGTGGTAGAAACCAGAAAGTTTCTTGATAATTTTCTAAGACTCTGTTGCCACTTTTTTCTAAAGAAAATGTTCCAAGTAAAGAAAAGGAAATTTGAGAAATGACTAGGAGCATTTCATTTGGATTTTTTTGGTAAGATTGACTTATAAAATTCCTAGAGCTTTATGAATTTTCATAAGTTCATCGTACCTATTTATCCAGCATGATGTAAACATGATGATGTTGATTATGGAAAGCGTGTCTCGTGTGATGAGACCCGTCAACTTCTTATCCTCAAGTTGACACGACTATGTCATACGTTGACGTCTTTCTCACATTGTGAGTTAAAATAGTACGGAGCTCATGCGAAGCACGTAGGGTCGTAGCTAGAAAATTATTCACTCGAGGCTGAAAACGTGCAGCTGTTATTCAAATTGAGTTGTTCGGTAACATAGTTCTATTCTACTTATGAAAGTTCGAGCTCGACTCGCTTATATATTTAAATGATCTAAACTCAAACATCTAATCGAACCTGTCTGTCAACAAATCAAGTCGAACGTCTTCACGATCTACTCAGTTAAAATTTCAGGTTTTGGTCTAGGTTTTGTGGTTTATTAAATGTGTCGAACCAAGTTTATACAAGTTGAACTCGAGCTCATATTTATTTTTGTTTATTTAACAAGTTGAAGCACACTAGATTGTTTATTAAATAAGCACGATTTTGAACATGAAGTACTCGACTCAAATTATCTAACTAGATGCATGTATAAAGAAGTCAATTTTATGAAATAATTTTAAATATTTAGTAAATTACATGAATTCCAGAGTAAATAATATTAAAATACAAATAGTACATTTTTAAAATAATAATATCACTTATTATACATTCTAGTTTTGTTTTATCAGTGGTAACTAAAAATCGTGAATTATTACCTATTCTCTTATAAACATGGTAAATTATCATTTATAACCGATTTATTACTTTTCTTTATAAATGACAAAGATAATTTTTCTCATACCCTTCATTTTAATTAGAAAAACAACATAATTTATTAAAAAGACTACTATGCGGTGGTATAATAGTCCGTCATTTTTACTATATGACATGTCATTTCAGTTAATATGTCACACTGTGGGAATCCTATCCGTGTGGACGTCTATCTCTGGGTGTCGGGTCGATGCATGTGCGGTTTTTTTCACCGGTTGGAATGAGGGTGTTATTCTATTTAGTTTGTGTTATTTTGTGGTGTTTGTGATGTGTTCTCTGTTTTTCTTGTTTTTGTTTAGTGCTTTTGGTGTTTCTCCTCTTGTTAGGAGCTTATTCTCCCCTTGTAGGAGCTTTTGTGTCGTTTTGGGAGTTGTTTAGTTAGGGTTTGTCTTGTTGGTGAATATGTGTAGTCTTCTAGGCTCCGAATCCGGGAAGTTGTTTAGTTAGGGTTTGTCTAGTACAATATACTAGTACGTACCCCATGCGATGCACGAGACAAAGATATTAAATGAGTTATTTTCACACCCTTGTCCGTTTAAGTCTTAAAAATAATAGGGTTATTATCTATTTTCTACCTCTTTTAATCAACGTTAAGTCTAAAAAACAATAGGATTATTATAAGTTTTTTTTCACATCTTTTAACCAGCGTTGTTTTTTAGCCAGAACATTAAATATGAGCATGTTAGGGCTAGCTTGTAAAATAATTAATATATTATCTCACTAAAACATTTACACTAATAAAAACTTAATTTTAGAAAATAAATTTATCTATTGATATAAGAGAAAGTAATAGTTTTACTTATTGTTGTTTACTATATAATATTTAATTATTATTTTATGATATAATAAAAATGAATACTGTTAAATAGTGTAGTAGAATTGTTATAAAATTATATGAATTGTTTTTTTTACAATATGGGTTTAATATCTTTTTATGATTTGATAATATAACTATAATATATTCTTAATGATATAATAATATGAGATACGGATTTACATAATACTATGGATTTATTCCTTAATGTTAAGATATTGAATTAGGTAATATATGATTCACTAATTTGTAATCTGTCTCTTTTTATATTGAAAATAATCATGTGATTAAGTAGAGATAACAATTATCTATAAATTCCTTCATTTAAGGAATAATTTTTAAATTGGTCCAAGTGTTGAATGCAACCCGATTTTCTTGTAACTAAAATGAGAAGAGATTTTGAATTTCAAAGTTTCACTTCAAAACCACACGTAAATTTGGACTAAATTTTTTTCGTATTGAATTCATTCTGAAAAATGTAAAATTTATAAATTTATTTCGTAAATTTTAGTACGTAAAATTTCGGATTAAAAATATAATGATTATAAAAAATATGAATGATTGATCTATATAAATGTAACCCTAAATTATATATAATCATTATATGTTTAGATCATTATCTAATAAATCTGAATGCAATATAATGAATCAAAAATATAATCTATGTGTAATAATAAAAAATCTGATCGATTATATATATAAAATTAATTTTACGATTAATCTACGCGTAATAATAAAAAATCTGATTATAATGTCTCCAATCAATACCTAATAAATTTGAATGAGATTATTACGGTAAGTGAATTCATAAATTGTCTTCTTCAAAATATTTTATAATGATTATAAAATATTCTAATACCGAAATAGTAATGACATTTAATGTTGTTGACTTTTCTAGATACTAAATGTAGTAAATAGGATCCCTTTTTATATAAGTATAGATTTTAAAACTTTATTATGCTATAAATAAGTGGGAGCAAATGTCGATTCTTACTTAAATTAGTGCCAAATTTTATTTTATTATGCTTAAAAATGTCAATTGAAAATTGTTATAAAGATGTTATTTGTATAAATTTATAATTTTTTTTGTTATGGATTGTCAAAATTAATAAATAAAAAATTATTAAATATTCTTCCTACAAAAGTAGACTAGATTGAGTTTTTATTTCGTATTATTTCATAAAGTTTAGAAGGATATATAAAAATTATCATATTATTATACTAATTTTCAATAGTTATGGATAGATTAGTAATATTATAAACATACTCATAATTTTTTTTTGATAAATTGGAACATGTCTTTTGGTTTTCTCTATTTAATAAATATAATATAATTTTACCTTTAAATTTAATAATGTTTAATTTTTATTTATTTAACTTAAATAATATAATTTTTAGTCATTATTAATATAAATAATATATAAAATCAACGTCAATATTCTCAATTATTAACCACAAAAATTTTAGAAAAAAAATAAATATTACTCATTTAGCAATCCTATCAATTAATTTTTCCGCCTAAATTAAAATTTATCAACGCAACTAAATAAAGACATCCCACCATAATTTTTATTTATTTTATATACAATTTTTTTAATTGCGTGATTTATCACATAAAAAGAATAAACCATGTTTATGTTGCTCAATACTTAATTTATAAAATTAATTTTAATATTGTTATGCGTACTAGTCTAGTAGTTTGTGTACAAGACGGAATTTAAATCCAACGTAGATAAACTACTTTTATAAGAATTGCTTATTCATATAAGACAAATATTTTATTCTTTATTATCTCTTTCACATGAAGTTAGTGAAAGGTGGGTCACCCGATCTCCATCATAAATAGCTGCTGAAAGTGTGTTCATGCCATTTTTACAACAAAATTTATAAGATAAACTAAATGTAACCATCACCAAATAATGAAGAAAGTGTGACATATACAAATAATAACAAACGTGAATAATGAAGAAATTTGGTCGAAATTGCGTTTTCAAAATTCAATTTTGTACCAATTTCACATCGTAATAATAAAATTAATAATAATCTATTCATAAATTTGATTATGAATTTTGGATTATTATCGATCGAGCTCGCCCAACCTATTTTATTTTAATATTTTAATCTAAAAAAGGAAACGCGAAAATTCAGTCGAAATTAAAGAATATAATAATTTTATAACCATTTTTTCAAGTTTTGAGACGCGGCTTTTCTTTTCTTTTATCTATAAAATCAAAACCCCAAAGCAACCGCCGTAGCCAGAGGGAGAGAGGTTTTAGAATTCATCTCATAGATTTATTCAAATTTAATTTGGGGAAGTGCAAGTGCAAGACATTGACAATTGTTAAAATCTGAAGGTGCTTTTGCGGTCGACCATGGGGAATTGCTTGTCGGATGTGAAGGGCGGTCAGCAGGCGGTCGGCGTTGGGGCCCAAGCTGGTGCTGGAGGCGCCGCCGCCAGCAGCGGCCCAAACGACGCCGTGGACAATTTCTTCAGGGCCAAAGGAGAACATGCGCTTTTTACGCCGATCGAGGTATCGAAAGGGAGAAAATAAAAATTGAAATTAACTATGTTTTTTCCGTGTATATGGTATTATGGTGTAGTCCTGTGGGGTCTTCCGTGTATATGATGTTAACTATGCTTCGTGTTGTGCCATCCTTTTCCATCCTAGTCGGTATCTCTCGAAAAGAAAATATTATTTAACATCAAATCAGTTTAACCAAAGTTAAACTTATAATAATTTAAAGACTGTATAAAAGTCGGATAATGTTTCAGTTTGGCTTTAAACACACAAGTCTTTCACTTTTTGGTGCTGCATATGTGTTCAAATATAACTAGTAGTCTACTGTTTGCATGGAAATTACACATAAGCCTGATCATGCACTCAGTGGGAAAAATATTATTATCATATTGTGGAGGTTGGTGGAGCCAAGAATTTTAGGAAGTTGACTTTTAACATTTTACAGAGGCAAATGGCTGGACTTTTTAATTCCTATGCATTAAAGTTGAAAAACAACTTTGGAAGGCTTGACCATGGTGTTAATAGTTCATAATCACTTTTATGCTGGAAAGTTTCTATATTAATTCTCGTCTCCTGAGTTTTTATAAAGACTTGAAAGTTGAACCTCATACTTGTTTCCTATGCTTCGTGTTAATTGTCTTGTCACTAACAAAATGACTGTAATAAGCTTCTAACCAAAACTCTGTTCAAAGTTCTATATCTCTTTTGCATTTGCAAGAATGTGTATTTGACTGCTTCACATGACATAAATCTTTATTTGGGAGTTGCAGTTGTCTCTATCGGCTTCGAAGCTACTCGATCTTGATATCGTGTCTAAGGTAAATGAAATCTTCTCTCGATTTGTATAATGTCTTTAGCGTCTCATGTTTCAAGTTTCTTCGCACTTCACGTAATTACGCAGATGGTGTCTTATTAAGATCCATTGACTTCTGTTGTTGACTTGGCCTTTCATTCTTTTCTATTTTTGTTTTTGTCTTCTTTCTTTATTAAATAAATAATCTTCTTTGGCTGCAACTTGCCATTTTCTGTAGTTTAAAACAATGGACTGCATCAACTTCCCTTGTCTCACATGTTTTTCTACCCAGATTTATCGTATTCGTATATTAATCTGCTCTAGCCGGAGCCATCTCAATAAGTTAGTAACAGCTATTTCGTAGGTTCATTCACGTGTTAATTATATTCTTGATATTCTCCCATTAATGGTGAACTGGGAATGCCCCAGTACTCAGTAGCATACTCACTAAAGTTGGAAAGATGAGTATTGAAATCAGAAGATTAGGATAAATAAAGTATTATCGTAATTTTGAAAATTACTTTTCATTCTAAAATATAGAAAACCTGTGTACAGAAGCAGTTTGACATTGTTTTATTGTGCTATAGTTAAGCTTCTATTAGATCACAATTGATATGCAAATTTTGTTTTACGTCAAGCATGAAACTGAAATTTTCCCATTCCAAAATTTGCTGATGTTATTCATGTTTTTCCATCCACTAATCAGACCTATTATGTTCACTTGTCAGTATTTTCTTTTAAAATGTTGTTACCTGTTTAAAATTTAATGCTTGAAAATTTTCCGTTCTTTCTTGCAGAGTGATCCAATGGCAGTGGTATACACAAGAAGGGATGGGAAGCTTGAGGAACTTGGACGAACTGAAGTAATCATGAACAATCTAGACCCTAACTGGATTCAGAAGATAAATATCACTTACCATTTTGAGATTGTTCAGCCGCTGATGTGCGTAGTCACACTTCCTTTCTGATTTTTTGTTTACCGAACTTGCAATTGTTTTCATGTTTCATCTGTGCAGTCCGTTGTTGTTATATTAACCTAGCTTGTCTTTTCCAGCTTTCACGTGTACGATGTTGACTCAAAATATCATAATTTGCCAGTGAAGGTATGTTGTATTTCATGCTAGTGATATTTGATGCCTAGTTTCAGTTAAGAAGCAGTTCCTTTTTTTATTTGTACTTTTTCAAAAAATGTTTTGAAATTTGACCGCTTGTTTCTTGACTAAAAGTTTCATGCAGAGTATTATTCTCTAAAGCTCTATTTGTGCTAATTAAATTCTCAGCTTTCTTCCTTAATTCCGGCTTTAATTTCTTGGTCACACTAGTGACGTGTATTGCTACAGAGCTTGAAATTATAAGCGAAAAAGATCTTATTCCATCACAGATTTACTTTTAGATTCCTACTTCCATTAAGTTGGAATAACTGCTCCGAGCATAATTTTCTTCAGATTTTGTCTATTAATCATTTCCTGATGTTGAAGTCTAAATTATTAATTCGGTGAAATCTGCAGATGCTGAAGTTAGAAGATCAGGATTTTCTTGGGGAAGCTAATTGTGTTGTCTCTGAGGTAAAAGTTCATTCCTCGTGGTGCAATTTGTTAAATAATGCGACCTATATATCCTTAACTTTTTATTTCTCAAAGTTCTTGGTTTTATAACTTAACTAGACTAGATAATTCCATTTCATTCTAGGCAAAGGTGAATCCAGCTTTTACATGCTTTTTTTCATTTTATATAAGATATTTTTTTTAATAATATGTGCCGTATTTAAGTCTGTCAATGTCCACGACAGATTGTAACTAGACGAGATCGAAGCTTGACCTTGAATCTTCGAAGTAGAGATGTACGTGGTACAAGAAACTTGGGGAAACTAACCGTGCTTGCTGAGGAAACTGTTGCTTCAAGAAATACTGTGGAGATCACATTTCGTTGTTCTAATCTAGTGAACAAGGATGTGTTTTCCAAAAGCGTATGGAGTTTTGGATTAAAGTTATTTATTCCTTTTCCCCCCCTTTTGTGGTTTAATTTCATAGATTTATCTTTCAGGATCCTTTCTTAAGAATCTCAAGGACTATTGAGAGTGGACATTCCGTTCCTATTTGCAAGACAGAAGTCGTGAACGACAACTTGAATCCTACTTGGAAACCTGTATTTCTAACCATGCAACAATTCGTCAGCAAGGTAATAAAATCTCCATGCTTGATACTTTTTTTTAAGATTTTTTCAACACGAAAAGCTTTTTAATTTTCCGTAAGACATTGAATAAAACTATTAATTTTTAAACTCTATTTTATGTTGATAACTTTTCCTTTACTTGCTAATTCTTTTCAATCTTTTATTGTAGGAGAACCCATTGTTGATTGAGTGCTTTGATTTCAATAGCGACGGAAATCATGCTCTGATCGGGTAGCTAAAAAATATTTCATGATTCCCATTTATTTTTGTTGAAGTTGTTTATGTTTTAGGAAAACTTGTTTTGCACTTACTCGTTGGACTCAATTTTTATTTCACCTCACATTTTTTTCTTACAGTTAACATTTTTTCTTTTTTCTCTTAAATTAATTTGCTGTTATAGGCTATTTTTGTTTTTCTTATCATTTTTTTTCCTGTTTGGAAATAATGGTGTATAAAATCCTTCCCAAACAGTAAATTACAGAAGTCAGTTGCTGAACTGGAAACCCTTAACCAAAGTAGAGCTGGTGCAAATTTCTTCGCACCATCTTCTAAACGTCATCATCATGATAAGGTTTGCATGCTCTCCACTTAAACCTCTCTATTCTCATAGCATGTTTCCCTGACATATGACTATTGCCAATTTAGGTTTTAAAGAGTCAACTATTTGTCGATGGATTTGTTGAGAAACAACTGTACAGCTTTCTTGACTACATCTCCAGTGGATTTGAACTTAATTTTATGGTTGCTGTTGACTTTACTGGTGAGTTACCAGCTGTCTCAATTTTAGAATTTCATTCTTATCAATTGTCCATAATTCGTCTGGGATCAATTGGAATTTAAACTTGTTTCAGCCTCTAATGGAGATCCTAGAAGTCCAGAGTCTCTTCACTACATTGATCATACAGGTCGCCTGAACTCCTACCAACGGGTAACACATCTGACCAGTTATTGTGGTTTGATTTGTGTGTGGCATTGGAATCTTTATATCTTCCACACACACACACACACACACCCTGAAATTAGCCCTCAATTCTGAAAATCACAATACAGGATGATAGAAATATTATGTAAGAAAAATTTGTCACTGAACCTTTAAATTATTGAACAAAATATGGATTTTACGAAAGATTCATACGTCAACGTTTTCTTTGGAATATTGGAGTAGTAATCTATAATCAAACGGACTTGTGTTTTTGTAGCTAAATTTGAATTTCTTCTGCATTTCACTTTGCATCTAGAATTGGGTGTTAAAACTATAAAAAATTTGATGTAGGCTATAAGGGAGATTGGGGAGGTTATACAATTCTATGATTCTGATAGACGTTTCCCTGCCTGGGGATTTGGTGGAAGAATGCCTGATGGAAAAATATCTCACTGTTTCAACTTGAACGGAAGCCCAGCTGATTTTGAGGTAATATAAATATCAATACCGGTGAAGATTATTTTGTCATTTCGCAATGACCTTTATTATGGATGGTGTTCCCATTTACATTAGAGGAAGTAAGAAAATCTGTTTCTCGATATAATAGTTCAGTTCTGTGTTGGTTTGACAGAATCAAGGATCAAATAAAGAAAATTTACTTGATTTGTGTTATTGTTATTAACTTTGTTAATTGTTTTGGGTAAAAAAGTCATGTTAAA